AGCAGTACTACTTAACGGTAAAAAGGAGGGAACTGTTGGTATATGCAGCAACTTCAGTGGGTCTCCAGGGAGTTGTACTGGGTTAAAAAAACGGAGTCCCAAAAGGTCATAGAGATCATGCCATGTATATATTGGCATGGTTTCTGTCATCCTTGATGATCTCTGTCATCCTTTCTAATGCTACCATCCTTGCAGTGATAAAATTAATAAAATGGAGAACAGATTAGTGGTTGCCCAGAGTCAGGGGTGAAGGGAGAGATAACTTCTGTTTGGGTTCAATGTGTAGTTTTACAAGAAATTGCCACTCTGTTTCCAGAGTACCATTTCATAGTCACACTTTGATGAATGAACAGTTCAGTTTCTTTGCATCTCACCAGCACTTGGTGTCACTATATTTTAGCCATTCTGATAGGAATGTTGTGAAAACTCACTGTGGCTTTAATTTACCTTCCCGAAATGGCTAATGATGAATAATATATTTTCATGTGCTTGTTTGCCATCTATATTCTCTTTAGTGAAGTCTCTTCGTTTCTTTTAGCCATTTGTTATCAGTTTATCAATTTTTTAAAAAGAACTCACACGTTCCAATCATCTATCTTGCTGTCCTGTGTTCAGCTTGTCACTATTTGGCCAATGTGCACCCTATCTAGTACTGTCCTGAGACAGCTCTGAAAGCATCTTTATTTTCTGGGCAAGATACTCCTCCATCCTTGATTTTTATGCTCTAAGATGCAAAGAGAACTTCCTTTCCTTTTTTAGTGGGCCTATTCTCTAGAGAAACAGAACCAACAGGATATATTTATATTATGTAGAATGACGTGTGGAGTTGGCTCACCAATTACACAGGCTAGTAAGTTGAAAATCATTGTGGGCTGACGAACAGGGACACAAAAGACTGATGTACGTAGGCAGTGATGCCATGGGCTCCTTGGGTTGTTCTTGAGACTGCGAGGGAGGTATTACAGAAGTTTGGGACTCCTAGAAGTGTTCCTTTTGAAAGTCCTAGTAAAGGTTAACATCAAGAGTGAGTAAACAGGTTGATAGCATGTACCTTTCATATGTGTTGAAAGTGGCACCTCACCTCCGTGATCTTCACCAAAACTCAAAATCCCAGTGTAATTACAGGAAGAAACATCAGGTAACCCCAAATTGAGGAACACTACAAAATATCAGGTGAGTATTCCTCAGAATTGTCAAGATCCAACTTACTTGTATTGTAGTCTGTTTGAAACCCGATTTCTTGAAATTTGACTTGTTTTATGGCCTAATACACAACCAGTTCTCAAAATATTTCATGTATGCTTCCTATTTCACATAGGTTCTGATTCATCAATGTAGCATTTTATATATGTTCATCATGAGTGTCATTTGGTCATCTTCCCAGTCCGCAGACCCTTTGTTCTCTCTTACTTCAGACTCTAAGCTGAGTATTCCATTCCTATGAAACACAGTGGTACACCCTGAAAGAATACTTAGCTCCGTCACGGGCTCTCCTACGGCCCTACTTACATCTCCCTGAAGCAAAGGAAACTAGGAGATAAGATGAAGAGGAGGGGTACCTGCTAAATTCCTCATACTATGGTATTTGTTTTCTGCATAGCACACAGAAACTCTCCAGTAAACACAAGCTGGAATATTTTTAAAGGAATCAGCTTCCAGATCTTCAATTTCCATGTACACATTTTCCTAAAGTCAATGTGCCTGTGATGCCCCCAGAACAAGGCATCTTCCCTCTTAACAATTTACTCTTTTCACACTTGACAAAACAAAGATACCTCTTACTCATTTTTTCCCCTCTCATTCATTCTTATTCAATCTTGTTACCAAGGCACTTTGGATAAAGCTGCTGAACACCCAGTAGAGACAGTTTTTAACTGTTGGTAAGAGAATGACCCTGGGTTAAAAAAATCCTTTGCAATTCAGGTGGTTTTTTTTGTTTGTTTTTTGGTTTTTGTGGTGGTGGTAGTAGGTTTTTTTTTTTTTTTAATTTCAATGAAAATGAATCAGGCCAATATAATTAAGTCACCGGCTAGAAAATGAGAGAAATTATAGTAATTCTGGCATATAATTATGAAGGACTTCAAAGAATGGAGTGACACTGCTGTAACGAAACTCTATTCTCATCTTTCGTATTGTAAGTTTCTTAGGACTTGATAAAAAAAATTGATGCTATTATACTGATACAAATTTTGGGAACGAAAACCCCCCCTAAGACCTGTTTATCTCTCTAAAAGATGTATTTCTGATTTAAAAAAAACACCTTAATAACAGTTCATCAAAATTTGAACTATATTATATTAGTAAATACTTGAAAACTCCTCTTTAACAGATCAACCCTCAAAAATTCAGAGGCAGGACATAAGTTCACCCTTCACCTGAAGTCTAAAATGAATATCCAGGGCTGTTGGGTGGTTCTCCTCTAAGCAGTAATTCAGAAAGCTAAGTTTCTCCCTTCTTGAGTGTATAGTAGGAAGCCACATACTCCTCTGCATCAAGTTAGTAGAAGGGTAAAAAAGGTGAGGAAGGTTGCATGGCGGAGGTTGTCACAGACCAGACCTGGAAGTCCTGAACGTCACTTCACCTGATTTATTAGAACTCGGTTACACAGCTTCCCTGTTTACAACAGTGGAAATAATCTAATTGCATGATAGGAAATGGTTCAGCCATCAGTCAGTCTCTGCCACATAAATTTATACTAGTTTGACCAACTGTGTATTAATAATTGGAGGTAAACTTTAATGCTTAGAATCTTAATGTTACAGGAAGCAATTTCAAATGTAGTTGCAAACATGTGTGAGTACTCGTCAGTGTATGACCTTCACACATAATAAAAGAATAAAGTTCTTCAGAGGAAGTAGAATGGATTATCAAAATCATTATGGTATTTAGAGTGTTTTAGATACACTTAAAAGCATGTTAACAGTTCTATTTTTTTAAAAAGGCATTATTAACAATATCCTAAAGTCCTCCCAACTACTTAAACTTAGGGTGAAAAATGTTAAAATCTCAACTTAGTACCAGGAGATAAAAGTTTTCAAAATTATTAAAATACTTCTAGAGCTCCAAAATATCCCCAAGGAGAAGAAACTTAATCATAGCTTGAATTAGTTCACCAGTATCCCAGCGTCAGAGCCAAATATTTTAGGATCTGCTAGGGAAGGGTTTCTTGTCCCTCTGTGCTAGGCTTTGAATTTTTTAGTAAGAGAAGTTTCAAGATACTGAGAGAATATAGCCAATAGGAAGGCCGTCTTCCTAATTCATCATCAAACAGCCCTATAAAATATTCATATATTAGCTGTATCGCTTCCTGCCCTCTGCTTGAAAGTGGAATTCTTCAAGTGATAGTGCCTGGCCTTGCATAAGTCTCTGTAATCTCTCTGAACAAATGTTCCAAAGGGAGGAAGTGATTTGACTATTTTTCTTATCTACTCTCAGGGCAAAAATTGTAGGCCATGGCGTCCAGTGATAATGTTCTTACCTCATTTGGGACAATGAGAGGCATACTTCTCTCAGTTCTTCATTAGAAACAGAACACAAGTCAGTTTAAGTTTTCAACCAAAAAACCCTCTAAAACACATTAAATTTGGAGGCACCATATTCCTTCCTCACTGCAATACACAGTCTGTCTTCTTAGAAAAGGCACAAAGGTCTTGGTATGACTCATCAAGAATAATGGACAAAAGTACAGTTTAAATCTGGGTATTTCCTATGAAAAGGAAAAACTGTCAAATGTGGATGTCACCTACAAAGAAGACATGTAACAGACACTAGTATGTAACATTCATTATATTTATTTTACTAAATAGTATGCTTCAAAAAAACACAAACCAGAAAACTTTTACTTAAAACTAGTCCAATGAAGTGGACAGGCTGACACCATCCCATCCCCTTCTTGTATGTGTACAGAGCTGGAACCGTATCAGAGAGCAAGCACTCAAGTACACTTTGCCTTTCATGTTGAACATGAATGAACTTTTCTGAACCGAGAGACAAATGAAGTTTTACAAGATACAGGCACTTTATGTTCCCAGTTTTAAAAATAAGCTGAGTGAAAAATATTTAATAAAAGCAACTGGAACAGAGAAAGCTTTAGAAGTTCTACCATTAGTTATAAGTGACTTACACTCAATGCAAACAGACACAAACAAGTAAAACAAAAAGTTTAACTGGGGTTAATGAGCAAATATGTAAAAAATCCAATTTACTACCATTGGGGAAAATTGGCCATCTGAATCCAACTTAAAGATATACCAATAATGTGATTTAACACATCAAATCTTAGGTACCTACGTAGCTGAGTAACATCTGAAAGCTTTGCAAGAGTGTGGTTAGTGATAAAAGCAAAAGGTGCTTTTGATTCCACAGTATCTGATTAAACGAAACAAAGCAATTTACAAAAAAAAAACAAGTACCAAATGATACTTTAAAATAAATAGTTCATCATTTTGATGAATATATACATGTAGAGTCCACTTCCTGGGGATTTAGCTATCTAAAAGTGGCATATCACTATCCAGAGGTGCAGGAGCGAGTTCACATAAATAAAACAGCGTGGCTTCACTAGCTTCAGCTTCAGTCAACGGCTCCAGGCGAACAAGCTTACTCTGGGTTGGTTCTGGGTCCAGGCTGCTATCCAGAAGCTCATCAACTTCTATGGGTTTGTCTACAGAGGACATAACTTCTGAAGAAGCTGTGCTCCCCTGCTCAACAGCAGAAGCAGGGTTCCCATCGAGGAATGCAAGAAGCGGAAAGGCAGTGTACTGGATAAGCTGCTTATCTATAATAAAGATTTGAAAAATGATCTTTTATCACCAGCTTATACAGAGTTCAACCTGAAGGTGGAAATAACAGAAGCAGATGTGCATGTGTGTAATCACTATCCTTGTATCACCAAACAAGAAATATTCTGTGTCAGGTAAATTTAAAAATGTACGAGTCAGAAAATGTAGTCTTTTATTCAATAGTCAAGAAATGACAGTTCTTTCAGTTCTCCTAAAATTAACAGGAAAAAAAACACATGACAAACTTGAAGAACTATTACCACACCAATTCCAATTTCCTTTATATGCTGGAACCTTGATACTTGATATGCTGTGCATAGAATTGAAACTAGTGCAATCTGTGTTCAACTGTGAAGCATGGCAAGACTTTCTTTGGCTAACAATAGTTTCTACATAGAAATCTTAATTAAAAAAACATCTATAGAAACTAATACTACATTTATACTTACCTGTTTTGGGTTTAGATTTTCTCCCTTCTTCTGAAACTGGCTGAACTACATTGCTTTTGGTAGTTTCTAATCCTTTATTCTCGGACTAAAAGAGAAAAAATAATATAAAAATACTTGTCTCATATTTTACATGTTCCTGAAAATTGCAAAAAATTAAAAACTGGTACAGTATACGAATATTGATATGTTATCTGAAATACATGGGAAGAGGGTGTGTCAGGAAAGGTGAACTAGAGAAAGAGATCTGAGTAGAGGTCACAAGACTGGCTAAGAAAACTATTGCTGTCATCAAGAGGATGAAACAAAGAACTAGTTGAACTAGGAAGACTGTAAGTAAAAGAGGAAGGAGCACTTCAGCAGTAAAACAGACAGAATTTGTCAAGGGTAGAAGATGGGAATGAATCAAATATGGCTGGTTTCAAACTACTAATTAAGAGATAATTCTTTAAACAATTAAACTCATTTTAAACAGTTTTGACTAAAAATCTATTACACGTTTCTTTTCACTCACAAACAGTATCTAGCGTATGTGAACATATTTACAGTAGCTCAGAATGAAATGACAACCTTAAAGCTATGTATCCCTAACTGCCCCCCCCCCAAAAACACTACTATGTATCTCTATATTTGGAAGCCTCAAAGCTGAGGTGGTGTTTCTTCATTTCCTTTTTGTGGCTCTTTCAGTTCTTTTCTGTCATTTAAATTGCTTCTTTCAACCACTGTCTTCTCTCCTTACATCTCATTGTAAGGGGATTAAATCTTTAATGCTAAGTTCTTCAGTGCTCTTTTCAATGATGTTCAAACTGAGGTGCTGAGGTTCACAATTTTTCCTGAACAGCTGTAAGTTCCACATATCTGCATGCTTGTTAAGTTTACATGGTGTAAACAAACATACTAATTCCTATAATTCCCCTGATTCATCATAAAACAAAGCAATACAACCTCCAGGATTCATAGATAATAATGTCCCCAAGATATAATAAAAACGACTTAAGTTTTCCCCAAAATTTACATAAAAATATCATTTAGCATTCACAATAAATAAACATTAATGCAATAATACCTTCTTTATTTTTCTACTTCCTAAAATAGGTACTGGATGCCACTGTTGTTTTCCCAAAGCGTATGAGAATCAGGATAACAAATGGGTTTCACCTCCCATGCAAATTTTTACTCATTAGTAGTGGCCACTTAGATTACTATACTGAGGAGTATAAGGCATCCTGATTCATTAGGAAAGAGTACTGAAATCCATGTCATATAATACCCGTCATGAGCAATGGAATGACATTTGATGTGCCAATTATTTGAAAACTATCTGGATTCTAGAACTATGATAAAAACTCACTCTCAATTTTAATTTTTCTGTACTATTGTGGAGCAATATGCAACTTACTGCTTAATTGCTATTTCTGAAGGCTGTTTTAAGGTTCTGGTTTTGGGAATAAGAGGATGATCCAAGAATAAAGAATGACTCACTGTCTAGCAATAAACAAACAGTAGAAAACATTCACTAAATGAACACATGATGTGGGTTCATTCAACCTCAAGTAACATTCAATAATATCACGTGTACTGAAACACAGTGCTGCCATGGTCCACAGATTCTTATACTGCACATCTAGGCAAACCGTGGTCCATGTGCCAAATTCAGCATGCTGCCTGTTTCTGTCAGTAAGGTTTTCCTGATGCACAGCCACACTCGTTCTTTGTACTGTCTACGGCTGCTTCTGCACTACAACTGCAGAGTTGAGTAGCTGTGACAGGGAACAACTGGCCCTGAAAAACCAAAAATATCCACTACCTAGTCTTCACAGAAAAAGCATGCCAACCCCTGATATAAATCATCGAAATACTAAATGTATAATCAACCTTCTAGATCAAAAATTCACAAATTCTTTCAACTTTAAGTTACCCAGGCTTAACTTTGAAAATGTAGAAAATCTGGTTAGGTCCTCAACACATGGCAATAGTTAGAAAAATTCCACATCCTCACTCTAATGAGTCATACTAATTGATATGTATTCGTTTTCAACTACAAAGAACAAGAATAAAAATTAAATTTGACTCCACTAATCTAGAACTTACACAAATTTCAGAGGACCCGATTTACCTTTGTACTCAATGAAAAAAAGGGATTACTGAACAATATGGTGTAAATATACAAAACAAATGAAGTATATACCTATTCAAGGCAGTAAGCTATATAAAATAATAAAATGATTTTAATGTCTGCTCTAACAACTTCAAATTATTCTTATTTATTAAAAACAAGTTCTAAAGAATTTGTCAACACTTGCTAATCCCAATTGTAGTTCCTATATGTTTAAGAAAATAACAAAACCATTACTTAAAAAAGGAGTCCAAAATCCATATGTCACTATTTCAACTCACTTTACCTACAAATAGTATTAATCCCTGAGCTTTTATTGTATACTAATAAAATGAAGGAACTTATTTAAATATGGGTACCAGTAAGTTTTCAATAAAAAATGCTGAGAAATTGTTTATAGAAGAAGAACGTAAAATGAAGACATAAAACATGAAGAAACCATATTTTAATAATTTTTCAGTGATTATCACTGAACATGCCATAGTCAGGTGATCTCCCAGCTGAGGGCTGATTTCACACTGGTAGTATTATAGCACAAGGGACAGAAGAATTGGGCAATCATTCACCCCATTACCAAAAGCTAATTTTTCATCTAGAATTTTACTATCTTGATCACATATATTAGGTAATAAGACTATAAAATGCTTTTTGTAACTGGAAGTGATATTTATCGCTCTCTACTTACTAGGACTTTTTTCAAATTCTTACAGCTATGGGTCCTGAGCAACATGAATTAAAACTTACTTTTGTATTATTGATGTAATCTGTGGGATTCATCTGCACAGAACTAGTGAAAAGCTGAAAGACCAAACAAGAAAGATGATAAGTTTTAAAAATATTTTTAAAAAATTAACTGCGTGTTCAAAATTTTTATACAGCCATGTTGGGTGAAGAGATGTAGCTCCTGCACTAGAAGTTTCCATACAGTAAAACAAGTTTGGAAGAGAAAAGCAGGAAAGCAGAAAGAAAAACAAACAAAAGCAGAGCAAGCTAGCCCATGCATCAGATGTTGTAAGAATTTCTATTCAATAAAATAGTGGGGTAAATTACTTGAGACAAATGGTGGTTTTCCCCACCTCTCCTCTCCTTCATTTCCTTTATTTTTTTTCCTCCATAAATGCCTTTGGCCTTAAATGGCACCCAGGGCTGAGTTCCTTGCCCTGACACTGAGCCTTCACTGACTACCTGCTAAATTATGTGATAAATTTATAGAATCTGCTCTATGACAGTGGCCCCTAAATTATACCTCAAGTAGAGCCCTCAGACCAAATGGCATAATTCCATGTTGGTTCCTTTCACCTCACCTAGCAAGGGAAGCTATAAATGTTAAGACCACTGCTTACTACACTCCTCAGACCAACCAGTTTACATATATAACTTCTGTTTACATCATAAGCTTCAAAGTCATCCATTCCACAGGGATTTACTGAGAATCTAAGAAATAATTGACATCATGAAGAATACAAAGTGAAGACACTATTTCTGCTCTCCAGGAGCTTACAATCTAAAAGACAAGATAAGAGAACAACCTCAAATAGCAATGTAAGATTGATACAATCCAGCATTATAATAATGAGA